CAAAATTCGATCGCGAAGGCAGTCAAATAAATCCTGCAAAAATATGGCGCATTCTGCGCACATATAATGTGCAGTATGTTTCCAGGATTTATTTTACTGCCTTCCCGATCGAATTTTGAGCTGAAATTTGGTATGGACAAACTAGACTTGATTAGGAACATGCTTAAAAAAATTTATAAAAAATTTTCACCAAAAAGACCCTCTGATGGGCTGGTCCGCAGGGAGCTTCTCTACAGGAGCTCCTGATAGGAACGAGACTCTCCATGTTCATTTACTCTATGTGATGTGGGCCTACAATGGATTGTACCTCACCATATCATACGAAAGTGTATGTATCTGAGCATCTGATTGCGTTCTATTCTCATTTTAGAATACATATGCATATACACACTCAAGAGAGGTATCAAAGGATTGAAGGTAGGGTGTTATCAAATGAGCTTGTCATATTGAAAATTATGCACACCGGGTGCTTTAAATATAACTATCACGTAATATTCTAATTCACCGGTCACGTTTTATACCATATTCAACAAATGTGAGGATATAAATAATGTATTATACTAGGTATTAATTAAAATATTAAATAATGAATGTCAATAGCTTCTCTTCTAATTTGAAATATAATTATATGTATATAATTAAATGTACTCCGTATATAATTATTTATTTATGATCGTTGAACGCAATGACCTGTTGAATCCAGCTTGAGCTGTGACCTGGTAATTTGAACGAGGTGATTTCTAGTCCAATTCTTACAACTTAGTGTTGACCGGGATAAAAAATCACATATGCCACTCATCTCAAATATTTTGTTCAATTTTTGTAATTAAGAAAAGCAACACTTCACAGTCTTCACTACTTATAGATCAAAGTGGTTTTTTCAAAAACAAGGCAAATACAATTTTGTATTGATCGATGATAAATATCTAAGACATTCCAATATCTCACTGTAAAATGGGATCTAGAGACTCATTCTACAAGACTACAACGATGAAAATGTTTCAGGTTGTTGGATATCTAAACTGTAAACCTCATAAGTGAATTAGTCCAAAATCTTATTTAGTAGTTTAATAATTTACCATTAACAACAAACAACATTTCATCGTAATGTGTTAAATTTAAAAAGAATTTATTTATCACCATTATCAGTCATACCAAATTAAGTTAATAAATTTGATTAAAATCCAGACATGTGTAGAAAAAGCTTGGTTGACACCGATATACAACTGCGCTTTACGAAACAATCCATAGGGTGGCCACAAATCCACAACCATAAAAATAAAATAAAAGAAAGAAATACCAGAATAGCATCCACACCAAAACACAATTCTTACAAAAATACTTTGGGGTATACGATACTCAGTCCTCCCCAATTTGATATCCATTATCAGGCAGGCAGAAAATAAGGTAAGGTTTGAGTTCAGTGGCACTCGACCATGAGAAATTTGCCCACCTCGTGAAAAATGAGTAATAAATTTGTGAAGTAGTTGATACATGTGGGAACATATAAAAGGATATTTCTTATTGCTAATATTGAAGTTATTTTGTAGAAAGGTAGGGTAATTAGACAAAAAGATAAACTAAAACACAATTCTAGCAAGCTTTTTATCAGATAGGAACAGATTAAAAAGTTCGTCGTATCTTATTTGATAGGAAAAAGAAACCCAATATCATGATAAAAGGTTGCTGGAATTGTGTTTTAGTTTATCTTTTCATCTATTAACCCTACCTTTCTACAAAAAATCTTCAATATTAGCAATAAGAAATATCCTTTTATATGTTCCCACATGTATCAACTACTTCACAAATTTATTACTCATTTTTCACGGGGTGGGCAAATTTCTCATGGTCGAGTGCCACTGAAATCAAACCTTACCTTATTTTCTAAAGGTGTCTACCTGATAATGGATATCAAATTGGGGAGGAATGTGTATCGTATACCCCAGAGTACTTTTTTTAAGAATTGTGTTTTGGTGTGGATGCTATTCTAGTATTTCTTTCTTTTCTTTTATGGTTGTGGACTTGTGGCCATCCTATTGATTGTGTCCTAGAACGCAGTATATCTGCATCAACCAAGCTTTTTCTGCATGTGTCTAGATTTTAATCAAATTTATTAACTTAATTTGGTATGACTAATAATGGTGATAAATTCTTCTTAAATTTAACACACTACGATGAAACGTTGTTTGTTAATAGTGAATTATTAAACTGCTGATATGGAGCAAACCGGATCATCAAACCCGCAGGGGGGTGCGACCGAAGAAGATAAGGGCCCTAGGCCCTGGATCATTTACCGAAGGCGAGGACAGGACGGGCCCACATCCGTGGGCTGGGGCGGCTGAATTTAGTTGCTGATTTATTAAGTTTCTTAATTAATTAATTAGTGGTTTTTAGTATATTTCCTAATTAAGTTTATTTCCTAGTATGAGTTGTTTAGGAGTTTTACCTTAATTAGGACAAGTAGTCTATATATACCCCTTATGAGGGTTATTCAAACTATGCTTTATCAATAAGAATTAGTGTGTTTAAGCTTTAAGCTTTGGCAACGGTTGCTAGCGTTGATTGTTATTTTCTGTTCCTATTAACTAGTAAATAACATTTTGGACTAATTCACTTATGAGGTCTACAATTTCGATATCCAAGAACCTGAAACATTTTCATCGTTGTAGTCTTGTAAAAAGTGCCTCAAGATCCCATTTTACAGTGAGATATTGGAAAGTGTCTAGATATTCATCATCGATTAATACAAAATTGTATTTGCCTTGTTTTTGAAAAAACAACCACCTTGATCTATAAGTAGTGATGGGTTGTTTTTCCATGAAAAATTTGCTACCTGCACATCCTTAGTGGCAGTGCTGGCACAAATCTTAGCATGTTGAATTTTTTTAGGATTGTCGATTTTCATCGAAGCACAACGGTTGTTCTGTAACTAGGGTAAACAAACACTATCATAGACTAGTGGTGGACTCGGACCGGGTGGCCCGACCCGGAACCGGACCAGGACCGGCACTGTTCCGGACCGGCCCGAACCGGTGGCTCGGCCAGTGACCGGTCCGGGTAGGCCCGACCCGAGGGGTTTCCGGTCCAGGCTCGGGTCACCCAAAACATGAACTGGCCCGGCCGGTCCAAGCCCGATTCCGGGCTTATTTTTTTATTTTTTTTCAACTTTTTTTAAATCCCCGTGTTGGGCTGGGTATTTTGGGCCATTTGGGGTGGTTTGGGGGGTTGGGTGTTACGGGGGGTCAGGGGTAATTAGAAAAAGGGGAAAAAAATCTAAGAGCCCGAGGCCCGACCCGAACCCGGACCAGCCCCGGTGGCTACCCGGGCTGGTCCTAGCCCAACATTTCCTAACCGGCGGCCCGGTCGGGCCTAGGCCCGGCCCGGGCCCGAACTGGCCCGAGTCGATCACTATCATAGACGAAGGAAAATAAGTACTCCCGATAGCAAATTTATCTACTAGGGATAGACTCGGGCCGGCAGCCCGACCCGGAACCGGCCCGGTCCATGGGCGGTTCGGGTCGACCCGGCCCGGTGGCTACCGGTTCCGGGCCCGGGTCTTCATTTTTGTGAACCGGCCCGGCCGGTTTGGGCCCAGTCCTGGCCGGATTTAATTTTTTATTTTTTTTGATTTTTTTTTAAGTTTTTGGGTTGGATTAGTTATTTTGGGCCATTTGAGGTGGTTTGGGGTGGTTTGGGGTTGAGGGGGAGGGTAGGAAGTTGATTAGGAAAACCTAAAAAAAAAATTATATAGAACCGGAACCGGGCCCGGCCCGGCCCGAACCAGACCCGGGGTTACCCGGGCCGGTTCCGGGCCTCCCCTAATCCCCTATCTTGAACCGAGGCCCGGCCGGTTCAAGGCCCGAACCGGTCCCGGCCCGGAACCGGTCCACCACTATTATCTACCATAGTTACTATTCATTTCACTATTGATATATTTTATCACAACTAAGTTGTTAATAACTATATTGTTTGGTATTTGCAAAAAAAAACTATATTGTTAGGTTACGCAACCAAGTTGTGTGTTTGTAGCAATACATGGCATACGCCCATTTTTGGAGGGTAGTCATGGACCCGGGCCGGGCCGGTTCCGGTTCCGGGCCGGGCCCGGCCGGGCTTTTTTTTGGGGAAGGAAGGCCCGGGACCGGCCCAGGTAGCCATCGGGTCCGGTCCGGGTCCAGGTCGGGCCGGGCCTCCGATTCGGTCATAATTTTTTTTTTTTTTTTTGCTTTCCTAACCCCCCCACTCACCCCCCCCCCACCCCCCCAAACCCCCAAACCCCTCCTAACTGTCAAGCCCAACCCGGCTAACCCCAAAAAGTGAAAAAAAAAATATAAAAAAATCAATTCGGCCCGGGCCCGACCCGGCCGGGCCGGTTCGCCAAATACAAGGCCCGAGCCCGGACCCGCCCCCCCACCGAGCCTAGGCCTGACCCGGACCCGGACCCGAGAACCAGGCCGGTTCCGGGCTCGCACAGTGGCGGGCCAGGCCGGTCCCGGGCCAGGCGGCCCGAACCGGGTCCATGCCTATTGGAGGGTCGCCTTTCCTAAAGGAGCCCAAAGAACTACTTCATATTGTTTGGTTTTGTGCGTTTAATAGCACTTGTTATGTCCTTCCTAAATAAATAAAAAAACTATTCTTTATATCAATAAATATAATATCGCTATCATAAATAGCTTTAGTCTAGGCTTGATACACAAGTAGAATACATTTGTGAGAGAGAGAATCTCAATATATTGTTGGTGTTTGTTTGGCTTCATCCTTTCTTGAAATGTGATAAATGGATTGTCATTTTGGTAAGTTCTTATGGTTAGAAATAAACTTTTAGCAAAAATTACAAGTGTTGTTTTGAAGCTTGACATTTTGACAAGACTTGAAACTACATCCTTATCTATTATTGGAGTTTTGTCTTTTTTATATTGAAAAATAAATAAAGCTTCCAAAGATCAATGCAACTTCTAAAGACTTTCAAATAAATAAAATTTTGTAGTGAGCTTTTATAATACAAATGTATAAGATAAATAAATTAATAATAAATACTCATTCTGATAGGTTACTGGAATTAATCAAGCAAACAGCTACAGATATAAGGAAATATGGAGAGAATAGATTGGAAGAGGTTTATTGAATGATAGAAAATCACAGAACGTATACAAGCCTTGGGACTGTTCGAGAAGTCCACTCTCCAAGCCAATTGCCAACTGAATAACAGCCTGCCTATCCCCAGCCCGTATTCTTACTATTTATAGTACTATATCCACGCAGGGTTAAAACGTAAAGCAACAGTACTCAAATAACTAGCTAATTACCAGACTACCCCCAGGCCCTTCTTTGATAAACCTTATTATAAAATTGAGTAGGCTGCATAGCTGGGTGTCTATCACATTCATAACGAGCAGCAATATATCTCAAATTAAACTACTTACCCTTCCTGTTTACATCCATCAACAAAAGAATTTTAAGAATCACATTATTGAATACATAATAGCAGAGGAAATATTGCAGGTGAGGTCCTTATTACCTGAAAGGGGGACCACAGTTAGCCTTCTTTATGGCTTGTTTGGACTGTAGGAACTTTCTCTTCACCGTCTCCATTTACAGATGCATCTAGACAAGGTGGCTTTGCAGCTCCATAGTAAAAGAATGCGATTACTTTTGACAGATCATCTGCCGATCGAAGTGCTACAGCAAGCACATTTTTTATAAGAACCATAAGTGGATTGAATTGATATTTGAATCTAAATCAAAAGCCCATTTAGTATGACCTAAAATAGCTTAAAGTGACCAAATATGTTGAACTTTATGAATCTGTCGCTAGATCTGTGAAGTTATTTATAAAGTTGTTAAAAATAAACTTTTTAAATAAGTTAAAGAAAATAGGGATAAGGGTCAGATAGGGCCTCGAACTCGAAAAAAAATGTCAAATAAGGTCATATTTCGGATGCTCTGTCTGGCCGACGCCATTTGGGGCGGTTCCCGATGGAATTTTTTGATGAAATTTTTTGAGCATCTTCCTCATTAAGTCTAGTTTACCCATACCAAATTTCAGCTAAAAACTCAACCGGGAAGGTAGTCAAATGAATTTTTGAAGATAACTGTGAAGTTAAACAACGCCGTACATTTCGGAAAATTATTTGACTACCTTCCCGGTTGAATTTTTAGCTGAAATTTGGTATGGGTAAACTAGACTTAATGAGGAAGATGCTCAAAAAAATTCATCAAAAAATTCCATCGGGAACCGCCCCAAATGGCGTCGGCCAGACAGAGCATCCGAAATATGACCTTATTTGACATTTTTTTTCGAGTTCGAGGCCCTATCTGACCCTTATCCCAAGAAAATAAGATCTAAAAATGAAGGTAGAAGCACCTCATGGCCTACTTTTTCTCATTGACTGCCAGCCAGCCAGCACACGGAGATAAATAAGTTAGTGCATTGTGGAAAAATGTAAAACAAACTTACCTTTAGTCTAGGCTCGATACAAGATTACCAAACGGACATTTAGTCTTGAATGATTTATAAGAAAGACTTGGAGTATATCTTTACCTTTTTCGCGGTGCAATATCTTTCCGGATTTGGTGAATATGAGCTCAGGGAAAATAGATACGTTCAGAGCAGACACCAAATCATGCTCCACAACAGCATCAATGGCTAAACACTATCAAGGAAAACCGTCGATGATGAAGCATTTAAAAGCAGAAGAATAAATTAAAAACACTAAATTTCTGCCAAAATGGTACAACACGAAACAGGAACATCAACAAACAAATTTAAATTTCACTTTAAATTATAAAAAAATATCATAAACTATTAAACTTTCACTTTAATTTACCCTGGGTGATGGGATTCTGCAATTCCAGAAAACGTGTACAGCCTTCTCCAATTCATTCCTTAACTTCTCATTTTCCTTTGGCCTATAGAGATAAAAGGAGGTGAAACTAGATTATAATTTGATATTACAAGTTTGAAAAAACTAGGAAACATCATATGTGAAACTCACATAATATCTGATTTAGATTGCTACTGAAATAGACCTAATTTCACTCTCATTTATCCACATTTGACATTTCCTGATAAAAAAGAAAGTTAAAACTGAGAAAATATTAAAATTTATACTCCTGTAACAAGTGCACTCTTCAAATCAATTGATTCTGGCTTCTTAGCAGATAGAGTATCCAAATGGTAAATGTATGCTTGGTTTAGAGCTTATTTTAGGCTCCAAATAAGTCATCAGTTCTGTTAGATAGTATCTTATTTGATAGGAAAAAGAAACTCCACTAACCCTACTCAATAGCATCCTGATAAAAAGGTTGCTGGATTTGTGTTTTAGTTTATATTTTTGTCTAATAACCCTACCTTTCTACAAGATAACTTCAATATTAGCAATAAGAAATATCCTTCTATAAGTTCCCACATGTATCAGCTACTTCACAAAATTATTACTTATTTTCATTAAGAAAAGCAGTTCCTAGTGGGAACTGATGACTTATTTTCACAGTTTTCATTTTCTTACACAGTGTGCTAAGTCAAAATGAGACTTTATTTAGGAAACGGAGGTAGTAGCTTTTCAATTTTCAACCCAGTGTGTGAAATAAGCTTTTAGCCTCTTTGAAGTCCCCAAGAAGTATCAAAGAAATGGGAATTGGAATTTGGATCCAACTTTGTCAACTAAATTTGAGTATGCACTATGCACTCTGTTTTTTAAATCATTAATATTTGCACACCAAATTGGAGAATTTGTATCACATTTTTTCTCAAATTAGAGCTTGTTCCCATTACCACAACTTTTTCTAACTTTGTGGTTAAAATATTGATGATTTGAAATTAGGGTGTGAACTAAAAACTGGATATAATTTTGAGGAGCAGGTTCCAATTCTCTATGGAAAAAGACACTGATTTAAAAAGAAAATGAAATGAAGAATAGAAATGGTCCAACATCCTTATATAAACTAAGGAATACGGAGTAATAAATAATATCAATGGTGAAGAGTTACACAGTGTTCTTGTTATCATACAGATAAAGTAGCACTGATCACAGATGTATCCTTAAGAAAAACTATTAGGAATGGCACATATTTAGTAGTCATTTATTCTTCCATTTTTATTTTCCTGGACATATTGGATGTTTGGGGTCCTAAATATGTGTTAGGATCAATATGGCACAAATGGATGTTTGGACATACATATGATAAGAGATGTATCCTCAAGAAAAATTATTAGGAATGGCACATATTTAGTAGACATTCCTTATTCCATTTTCTTTTTCCTGGACATATTGGATGTTTGGACTCCTGAATATGGCACATATTTACCACTGATCATAAACCACTTATATCTAGTTTAGGATCAATACAATTGTTTATTCCATTATAAACTTTACAAAAACAACAAGACAAAGAAAAAATTAAATCAATATGACAGACATATCACCAACCTCATATAACGGTTATGAACAAGGAGAATCAAGGGACTGAAGTCCTTGAACACGGCTTCTTCCCAGTGTGGGGTAGTCAAGTCTTTAATAGGGCGAATATAATCATCATCTTGCCACACTATCTCATTCTCGCTGTTAAAATCATCATCGTTATCGTCATCATTATCCTTTTTCACATTTTTTATGGTAATCTTATTAAAGAACTGATCTAAGTTGAAACCCCTCCCCTCTGCGTCCTCTGGCCAATCAGGATCTTCTTCTTCCACAACAAGAGGGTAATCCGCCAAAAGCTTTTGTATTCTTTTCTGCTTATCATCCATGTCTGTTTCTTCTTCTTCTTCTTTGATCTCAGGATATGTGTCCATAACTTTCCTAATCTTTCTCCTCCACTCGAGCCTCTCTTCCTTATCCATTACAAAGGAATCATCATCAACCTTTTTGTCACTCTTATCCGATTCATAATCTTCATCATCTTTATCATTCCCATTGTGAAAACTGAGTAATTCTTCTATTTTTGAAGCTCTTATTCCACATGTTATAAAATTTGCATCCTGTTATCCTGACCCAATTGTTAAGCCACCTCATTTCGACAAAATATAAAAAATAAAACGCGAATATGGACTGGTCCTCCAATAGGACAATTTTAGGGGGAATCCCAAATCTTAATTTTGTATCAACTACTAAGTTCAAGCAATCAAATGAGAATAGTCCACCAAATATGTAAATATAAATTCAGGTGCGTAACCCCAAACCTTAGTTCCAACTTCACTAAAAAACTACTAAAAAGAACCATTTAAGTGGCATACCGAAAGAGATGAGGAGCTGAATAGTGGCAGCCATAGAGGAGTTAAAATCAGTAACCTCGAGGGAAGAATCGTGGACATTCTCTGTTGGTTTCTCCGGAATGAAGAAGTTCCATTTCTCGATAGAGAGGACAAAAATGGCGTTCTTACAGCAAGTTGCTGCAGTTCCATTTCTCACGCAATCCTTCAAGTATAAACTGACACTGAAATGGAAGAATATATTATACGGAGGATATTACAAATTTACAATATAATACTCGTAGCAAAAGTTTCTTATGGTCAACTTACCGTAGGAGGGACTCGGAACCTGCAGGGGTCAGGCCTACAGGTTGCAGAAGCATAGAAGAAGCTAAGTGAATGGTGTTTGGAAGGGATTATGCTTTTTCTAAAACACAACAATAATTATACTCCCTCCGTCCCAGAATTAACTTCGGTTTTGACTGGGCACGGAGATTAAGAAAGTGAGAAATGTATGGTGGAGAGTTGTGCAGAGGAGAGAGAAATGTGTAAGAATGGTTGTGAACCACAAATCCTTTGCTAAAAAGGGAAAGAGAAGATAAATTTGGGACGGACCAAAAAGGAAAGAATGAAGATAATTATGGGACGGAGGGAGTAATCAGTTTTCTTATTCTAGGAATAAATTAGAGCCGCATAAGAATAAATTAGATCATAAAAAGTACTTCTACAATTTCATCCAAAAATATCAATATCTATTTTTGTTCCTGAAGAAATAGAAGCAAATTCAAGAATGGATCCAAACACTCTCTAAATTAAATAAAGTTCATGTGATACTATTAGTATATTAATTCCCTCATCGTATTGCAATTTTAAAATTTCTAATTTTTGGATTAATTGTTTTAAAATTTTAGTTACTAAAAAAGAAAAATAGATCTAAATTGGACTAATCAAGAGCAGAGAACCTAAATAGGATTTACAAGTTTTTAAATCCTAAATAGGACTAATTTTAAACGGAAGAGACAAAACTATCTATACAGATACACTGGCCGCATACGCACTCTGCTCTCCCGTCTCCCGTCCATGTTTTGCCATTAACTAATTGAGACATTTGCCTATCGGATTTATCTCATTCTTGTTCAGAACTTGGAAGACCAACACAGGGGACTCGATCAAGATCGATGCTGCAGACTGCAGAGGGTCTCAGCTGTATATTTCATAACTAGTTTCTGTAACGCGCGATGCGCGATTGGGTTAATGCCCAATATATTTTATGCATTACAAATGGGTAGTTATATGTTTGTAATCCATATGGTACCGACAAGAAGATAAAAATGGTGAAAATTAAAAAAGTCTATGAACCCAGGGCCTCAAAGCCAAAAGGATAGATGTTAATCCAATACATTTAGTAAAACAATGCATACATTGTAGTGAATCCGTAAATGAGGATATCCATTAGCAAGGAGCAAAATGTATAAGCATTAATGTACAATCATAGTTTACAATATTTCTTGGATGGCCTTGTTGATGCAATTGAGCTGATAAGAGATATGCATTGAAGATTTAATTATAATTTTGAATATTGTGGATCAAAAACTGGGGGAGTAAAAAGGGAAGAAGTTATATAGTTAATCTGTGAGATCCACCACAATCAATGGAGCTGAGCTTTCAAAAGCCATCCCAACAAAAGAACATGTCGCTCCTCTGCTTATCCTCTTTCACCCGTGAAAACGGTGAAACATTAAAGCATAACTTTTTGGGAAAAGAAATAATGCCAAATGCCATATGTTGGTGTCTTCAACCTTTGAGAAAGGAAGATATATTCCTCAGTTGGAGGAAAAGACAATGGTTATCAAATGGTCAATAAGTATGTGTACCTAAGCTACTAATGATAAAATCATACGAAGTGATTCTATTGCTTTATTCTTCTTTCCCCTTTTGATTCTTTTTATTTTTATCATAAGGTGTTTTCTGCTATGTGTGCTTAGCCCGATCAATCATAGTCGTAACAGAACTGTTATACATATATCTTTAGCTTATTCAAAATGTCTCTTGATCCTCACAAGTTTTCAGAAGATATTTAGGTGTTCCTCTTTTATTCATGAAATTCTACTTTTGTTGAACAGATATTTGGCGTTTCCATGCATTAGTTAATGACTTTAGTCAACTGAACTAAGATCATTTTCCCCTTCATTAATATTTGTCTATTGGTTTCCATAATTACAAATACATATCATTCATTATCATTACCTCAGTGTCGCAAAAGCTCCCACCTACGATGGGGTGAGAGGGTCGGGTGTACGCGGTCTTACCCATATACTAAAGCACAAAGAGAATGTTTCCGGATGACCCATAGTGAAAAATCGCGTCGGAAATTGCTTCATAAAAAAGCGCAAACAATGTAGTAAGTCAATTTTCTTTATTCCATCATGTTCCCAAGCCAACAAATAGTGAGCATAGTGTTGAGATGTAGAAAAAACAAATGGGTAAAGTTGACCTGAAAAAGAAGAAAGAAATGTGTTCAAATTCATGCACAACACTTGTTCAAAAATATATTAAAATACAAATCATTTTTATCCTTTAAAAGACTTACAAAGACTCTCTAATGCAATATTTCAAGGACCAACAAACACCACTTCAGTAAAAAATTAATCAAGCATAGTTCTCCGAATTTCGATTATCCATAATGCAAAAACTTCCTCGCATAGAAGCCAATTTCTCTTCTTTTATCAAGTGGTCCAGCTAGTGATGTATTTTAAATTAAAAACTAAAACCCAGTTAAAAATGCTATCTACTTGGAATGGGAGTATGTAGTAAATGGGAGGAATAAGTAGTACGAAACAATTTAAAGTATAAAAAGAATGTCTTGTGAACATTTTTACAAGCATATAGCTAGTAAAATATCTACAACCAAAAGAAATTTCGAAGAGATTTATTATACAATTAGCAAAATAGCAGTAGCTATTGTCACTCAAAGCATATAAGAGTAGCTAAAGTCACTCCAGTATTCAGAATAAGAGTACATGATAAGAGATCTATTATACAGTTAGCAAAATAGGGGGAAGCTGAAGTCTAAAAAGAAAACTTCCTTTTACCAAAAACAATGGAAACCACCAAACGGGAAACTCTAAGAGTCTAAACCAAGTCTCTTGGATATCATTTATTTTTATTTATAGTTACAGCTGGAAAACTTCAGTTGGCAGATCCAAACCAAAACAAAAAACAAAAAACACACACATAATAGCAGCAGCATGCCAGTTCACAAATTATAAATTTAAACCAACTTTGCGGTTCCAAAACCACATCATGGAACCCAAGCACCAAAAATGAATGTTATTATTGATAGGAGAGGGAAAGACTGCCCTCCAGCTTTATTCTGCCACCAGCACAAGAACTTAGATTGTGCATCCACATTTTTATACCTGTAAAGCTGCAGCCAGGGACTCTTAGAGTACTCCCAAGCCCACCTTGCGGTTGTAACACCTCCAACTATGCTTTCTATAGCACCAAATTGAGCTACTTCTCGAACAGACTTCAGCTGGAAAGTGTACATACCGTTAGCTCAATATTTTTCCAACTTTTACAGGCAATAACTTCACTACTAAATTAGAGGGATCACAAGTTTCTAATTATACCGACAGATGAGAGAAAAACATAAAACAAGATGACTCACCCCTTTAAAATGTGAAAATTTCACAAAAAGGGAAAAAGATATGCAAAATAGTTTGAACACATAAAACTTCTCAAACTGAGATAAGTGGATCTTGAATTGTTTCCTTTGACCACTGATATCATTAGTTGAAAAGTTTAATTAATTAGGGTAAAAAGAAATCAATATTCAAATATAGACTGGCCCTGTTTATATCATCATTCAGTCTTCTAGCATATCATATCATTAAATCCACCAGATGTGAGGCAAGAAAAGCAAGCTCCCACTCCAGATGGAAAAAAACGTCATAAAATGACGGTGCAGAAAGGAAGCAGATATTTGCAGACATATAAAAGACGATACCGCGGCTCTGTGAACGGCGTCAGATGAAATGAACTCCTCCACGCCGGCGTTGGTCCGCGAAGGAAGGGTATTGCATGTCGCGCTTGAGGAACCTGGTGTAACTACCGGTAGGAGAAAGGATCCACTATAGCTTCACTGATGGATTCACTTATTAATCTACTGCCGTCTTAGACATAACCCGATTGATTCAGATGAAGAGAGCTAAATATCAAAAATAAACTCCTATATGAAAACAGTGTTTTGGCTCCTATTTCTCTGCATTCCAGCACCGTCAATAAAATACACTCTCCATATTTTTTTTACATATCAATTTAGTAAGACATTAATTAAATTATTATAAGTAATGTTTTCCCTTGAATTTTTTCTCTGATTAATTATAAAATAAAATAAAAGACATATTTCGATATAAAAATACATAAATTTCATTATTATTATTTTACATTTTTTTGTTAACAAAAAAGAACTTATTTCATGTAAAGTTAGATTATGAAATATTCACTTATTTGTGAAGGCTGCATGAACTAAAAACATGTGTTATATGTTTTTTAGGCTCAAAAAAATTTCAACAGTTAAAATTTCAAAAAAAAATCCATTTTATATATTACATATTGGTATCATATGAAAGATCATAAAAATTCATGAATTTTGATATATTTTTTGAAAATTTTGAAGAACAAATAAAAAAGTTACAAAAGATTAAAATATTTTGGGATTATAGTCACATCAGTATGACATCAGCGGAATGCATAAGAGCAACTCCAATGCAAGGGTGTGGTCTCTTACACACCCTTACGCATGGGTCTCATTTTTTATCTCACAATTTTTATGTGTAGGACCCACATATTTCCTAATTTATTTTTATTTTCATTTTTTTTATATCACTTTTAACCCACTTTTCATCAATTTTTCCTCCTCGAATCTCGTGTAAGGTCCATATATGGATCTTGTCATAGACCTTGGTCCATTTTTATCTCTATCTCTCTCCTATGCCACATTAGCTGCAGTGCACCTTCCCATTGGAGGTGCTCTAACTTATGCACGAGCCGACTTACTTTTTCCTTTTCTTTTCTTTTCCATCTTTTCCCCAACTGTCAATCCTCCTCTATATTTAGCCCTTTCCATCCATTTACCCACTTTTACTACCCTCTATAACACACCACTAAATTGAAATTAGGAGTCCAAATTTTCCATCTTTAACATTTTGGACTCCTAATACCTCACCACTCCAAGTGGTCTAAGAGTGTTATCCTTAATACTCCGTATATTATCTTCCGTTCTTTAATAGTTGCAACAGTTTGACTTTCATGTTTGCCAACGTACAACTTTGACCATAATTATACTTAATTACTTATTAGTAAAAATTATAAAAAGTTAATATTTGGGAAAATCACATTAATAGAAATTTAATAATATTTTATACATAATAATTTGATTATATATAGTAGTAGTAAATCGTGGTCAAAGTAAAATG